ATAATAATAATAATAATAATAATAATAATAATAATGATAATAAAAAATGAAATGTGGGGTTGCATCCCTTCTTCGTGCCGAAACGTTCTGTTTTCGCTTGCGTCCATGAGGGACAGGATCTAAGTCCAACTAAAGATTAAGGGGTTAACCCTGCAATGAACTTGCAACCCATCCAGGAGGGGGGTGGGGGTAGTTATCCTCTAAGAGCTTCATGCTGCAGAAACCATGGACATCCTGATGAGCCATTAGCTTGGAAGTCAACTGGTATTTAAACACGAGTGGGAAAGAATCTGGAAAGAGCGTGCTCAAAGGAGCTCACTACTAGTGAGACTGGGGAAAACACGTTCGTTTTCTTCTCGTGTCGCCCATTGTACGCGTTTGTGAGGCTCACGCACGCCATTGGCGCCCACTATATCGCGCATCCAGCTTCTAACATTTGGCGAACTGAATAACAGACTGTTTCGAAGTGTATCTCAACAAGGATTATTTGGAGTGCTAACGTCTCAAAAAAAACGAAGCAAGATTATGGTCCTGGTTTTCACCGTCATGCATGTCATCCAAAATAAAAATAGGTACGCAAAGGGTACATGTGTGGGATATATAACTCTTTTGCATTAACGGACACGAGCCGATGACAATAGTGTGGCATACCACAGGTATCCCACACAAAAATCGTAGCCCTTCAATAAATAAGTCATGAACGTGGGATATGATAGATGATTGATATATAAACAATCCCGTCAAGATTTAGGTCCTGCAGTTCATTCGTGCGTAATTCGGAGAAGTGCTTCACCCAAATTCACAGAGCTTTGTATGGAGACGCCATGTTGGTGCCCATCCAAATGGGCACCAACACGGCGGCCGTGAAGTAACTTAAACATCTCAAACTGATTTTTATCATTGAAACGAAACTTTGTTATTCTAGAACGTTAATAATCTACTCGAGTTATTACTCGTTATTGTAATTACTCTATAAGATTCAAATACAAGTTGATATAAATATACAGGTTTTGTAGAATAGGTGTTACCTAAAATAACTTACATAACATGAATAAAATACGTGGAATCGAAAACAAAAGAACAAGCAAATACAAAAATAACGTGCAAAAAAATATAATAAAATGAAAGAGACAAATTAACATGATGAATTAGCTGATTTAAAGCAGGCTTTTTCCCAATTGATGTACATAGCTTCTTTAATTTTACCTGACACTTTGTGGCGGTAGAGTCCAGAATGGTGAAAGACGCCGCAGAACAAGGGTTACAGCATTCCTCTGAAGCCTGTTGTTTCGGTGTTTTCAAGAAATTAAAACATTATTCATCAACAAATTAATATGATCTCGTTACCATTAATCGCTCCTACTTGTGGAGCCGTCGTTGGAATATGGTGAAAACCGTTAGTACGTTCACCACCGGCCCATGAAAATTTGACCGTGTTAACAGGGTGGCCGTACCATCGATCGTCGAAGGGTCAAACCTCATGACTGATCTAAATCGAGTGACCTCTTAACACATATATCATGATATGATTCCACTTCCAAGCAACTGTTCTCTAATAAGCATTCAAAATGCAGATATACTGAATTTAACCAAAAAAAAAATGATACTTGAATCAATGTATGAAATATTAACAACTGGGAAAACACTTGATCTTACTGCATGACTCATTGCTTGTTTTACATATAAATTTTAAAACACTTACATACGTACATGTATTTCATATTTTATTAATTATTAGATAAGTAATCGTAGTTAGGTGTCTCCAATTAGTAAACATTGTATGCTAGCGACTTCGACACGTTAATAAAGTTCTTATCTTATCTTATCTTATCTTATCTTATCTTTTCTTAGCATAACTAGTTTAAGCTGCCGTATAAGCGGGCTAAAATGATAGATTATAAAGGTTGGGATTTGAGAACGTGGCTGTTGGCCATAGCAACGGGGTAGCCGCATTAACGAGGTTTTCTGATAAGAAGATGTGTTGGCCTTTCGCCGGGACAAAGAAATGGCCGTAATAACGAGGTGATCGTAAGGCGTGGTTCCACTTATTTTCAACTGTTATATTAATTGATAAACCATAACTCAAAATGCGCCCCTTTGTTTCCTTCACCTGTGGGGTACCGAAGTTGTTCGTTCTCACTTACATGAGGTTCTTTTTACCCATTATCTCATACTCTCTCGACAGGCGAAAATAGCGCACAATCTCGATTAATCTTTTCATTTCTTTAACATTGTGGAAATTAACGCGAGGCAATGTTGACAAATAACTCAAAGCAACTGGCGTATCTATCCTGACGATCTCTTTTCAGCACAAATATGACTTCGTAATCCAATTAGTCTCCCGTAATGTTTTTAAACATTATAATTATATACACCCAGTCGCGCAAAACAGCTATGACGCTCAATTGGTTGTGTCATAAGCGACATATTAAATTCTCAGTGAGATAGGAGGCTGCAAGATGACCAAGGCTACGTTTTTCAACAACTGATTAGATGCGTTCCATAATAACTTCAATTTTCACCACCAAGAACAATGGCGAACATTAATGGTGACGGCAATTTCACAAGCAGACTGAACCAAGTACTCAGCGCATCAATACTAGGAACACTTGCATATATTTCAGCCTTCGACATTTTTCTATCCATCACTGCATGTCTGGGAAATACTCTGATTCCCGTTTCTCTACGTAAAGCCACTTCTGTTCATCCTCCGACCAAACTTCTCTTTCGATGTCTGGCGGTCACTGATCTTGGAGTTGGCCTTATCGTGCAACTACTATATGCAACCCTCATTATGTCTCCCTTGATAAAGATGAACGGGATATTTATGATAAGCCGAGTTCGTGTTGCCCAAAGCTGGATTTTTTGTGGAGTATCTATCTTAACGTCGGCCGCAATTAGCGTGGACAGACTTCTCGCCCTGTTGTTGGGACTGAGATACAGACATATAGTAACATTAAGGCGAGTCCGTGTAGTTATAATTTGTTTTTGGTTTATTGGTGTTTCTCTTGGATCAACCCGCATTCCCAGAAGCGATGTCGCCCTCAAAGCTGCCTCTACCCTCGTTTCCCTTCCTCTGGTAATTTCGATTTTTTGCTACACAAGGATTTTCTTCAAATTACGACATCAACAAGCCCAAGTACAAAGCCATGTCCCTCAAGTACAAGCAAACGAACGAGAGATTCCAGTGAACGTAGTAAGATACAAAAAATCAGTTTCTAGCATATTGTGGGTGCAGTTAGTATTAGTTGCCTGCTATGCTCCTTGGGGCATTGCCGTTGTGCTATCTGTCAGCGGAATAGAAAATATTGAGTCATGGCTAGTTACACTGACTCTGGCCTACTTTAACTCATCTCTAAACCCGATCTTGTATTGTTGGAAGATCAGAGCAGTGAGACAAGCAGTGAAAGACACGATAAGACAGCTTAGCTGTTTAAGTTTTTTTTTAAATAATTAGCTGTACAAATCAAAATAAGCTGCAAAGAAAAATAACACAGGCTAGAAATAACGAAAGAAAAGAGGATTTTAGGTACGTTTATTTGTTACAAGCTGCAATTTGTTACAAGCTGCAATGCTGAGACAGTTTAATTAAACCTTACATTGATTATTTGAATATTTAACACAATATTACCGTTGTTTCATTTTAAGCTCATTATTCAAAGCCTTAAAAGCAATATTTAGCTCCCAGTGGGGAGAGGAAAATTAATCGCTTGGCTCAAGAGACCATATAAAAGCAAGGAGTATCAGGGGGATAGTTTTCCATTGCCAGTTTTCATGTGACGTCAACATATGTTTTATTCCCATCAAATCTAAGAGTAATAACGTTTCTCACGTTTTTAAACATATACTTTAGCAGGAAGTGTCGAGAAAATTAAAGTTACAAAACTAAAATATTTAATCACAGTGTGGCTTCAAATCTAACCCTCTATAACGAAAAGACGTCTGATAGGAGCTTGTATTTACAGTTGCCGTATTATTAGTAATAGTAATTGGACCGAGTGGAGTACAATTCAGGGAGTAATCGCGCGAGTAATTTCAAAATCGAACGAGCGCGAAACGCGAGGCCGATTTACAATTACGAGTACGATTACTCCCTGAATTGTACGACACTAGGTCCAATTACCAATTAATCACATGTATAACAAATTCGGAATGAAAATGTCTTTTGAGAACTTCTTTCGAGCGAAACGTCTACAGCGCTTTTCATAAGTTTTGGAAACTGTAGGAAACATTCCGAAGGAAGCCATTAAAGTGCGCGAATCACCTGGGTATCCAATTACTAGTATCCAGTTACAAAAAGTTCAAATTGGATACCTGTATTGGACACCCACGTGATTGCGCGCCGATTATGTGGCAAATAGGCGCGCGGAGAACCAATCACGATCGAGAATTTTGTTATAGATACGATTAATAATGGTAATAGGACTGAGTGGAGTCCAATTCGGTCTGTAATCATACGAGTGATTAACAAAATCGGACGACCGCGAAGCGGGAGGCCGATTTGTTAATCACAACAATTACAATTTCCCATGACCACGATTTGAAAAATATCATAATTTTAAAATATCATAATTGAGAATATGGGAATAGCTTGCAAAATGGCTGTCAAGTTTCTTTCAAAACAGTCACCGGAAACTAAACCTCCACAATTTTACAAAGTCAATCTGTTGAATTGGCTACTATAGAGACTGTAATCAATGTTGTGATTGGTGGATTTAGTGGAGAGGACTTAAAATAATTGGCTCATGTAACTGTCCGATTACAGGTGTCCGATCACAGCCAACTGTTCGATTACGTTGTCGGATTATAACTTTGCAGATAAATTAGAGCAAAATACACCAGTTTATGAACCAATCACATTTGAGGAAATTGTAATTGTTATGATTAATAATGGTAATAAGACTGAGTGGAGTTCAATTCGGTCTGAAGTCATAGGAGTGATTAACAAAATCGGACGACCGCGAAGCGGGAGTCCGATTTGTTAATCAAGAGTATGATTACAGACTGAATTGGACGACGCGAAGCCCTGTTACCAGTTAATCAAAACTATGACAAAATTCGAGAAACGAACAAACCATCGATTGAGCGCTGAATGATTAAACGTCGTTATGAATGCTGAAAAACACAGCAGTTTACTCAATAAGTGCACCGCAACAGAGCGCGCAAAATGACGCGCACTGTCCAATTACAAGCATGACGCGTACACTGTCCAATTAATGCTAAAATCGGGCTGCTGGTAGCCAATCACGTTCGAGAATTTTGTTATAGTTTTGATTAAAAGTGAAATCGGTCTTTTTTTCGAGAAAAAAAAAAGGGGATTAATTGTGCTTGTAAACAGATCGGACTTTTCCTAATTTCCACCCGTGGCTGCAGCAGCCCCTCGTGGAAGTTACTTAAAACTCCGATCTGTTCACAAGCACAATTAATCCCTAATTAATTGTCTCTCGAACAGACCGATTTTCTATACTAATGACTTAATTGTGCAACAGACATGTAGGAATTCTTTGACACTATATGTACAAGTTACTTGCGTACGACGAAATGAAGAACACAACCCTGATGCAAACTGGAGTGAGATTTTGCCGGCCGGCCTTGAAAAAATTGGCCTCCTCACAGCAGGGGCGAAAACAAATGACATCATCGCAAAGCACGTGTACACGAGACTATTTCGGTTTTCCGATCTTTTGCTCGTTTGTAGTTATGATTCGAGACAGTGCAAATCAACACAAACGTGATACGTTTCGTCGGGATGCGAGATGACGTGCTCTTGTTACCCAACTAGTTCAATTATTTATTCTGTTCATGAACACGGACGGCTTTGAATCGACTTGGCCTGGGGATGTTAACAGTAGAAACAGCTATATTTCACTGACTGTATTTTGATTGCATTTATTGATTAGTTCCAGTGGCAAAACGTCCGGTGAATCGATAGAAAAGTATTCTGAAGCCAAGATCTATAGGACTAAGCCTGAACCAAGGAACTGCAGTGTAATTCTATTTCTGCAAGTGAATATATGAAAGATCATATATTTGANGGTATCGCAGAGGTCATGGGTTCGACTCCCGTTCAGGCTTGAACTTTTTGGGGTTTTTTTTCAGGCTTTAATTTCACAACTGCTTAAGTTGTGTATATGACTCGGCGATGGTCAGTCATGTCTTCAATTCTATTTCTATTCATCAGTGGATGCAAACGTCTGATTTATTTTTTCAGCATACTCAATATTTCTTCAGCTTACTAGTTATACACAGAAATGAAGGATTTTAATGGCAGAGTTGAAAAATATAGACTTATTTTAATTGCCAAATTGAGAAACTATTTTCAGTTGTAATATTTTTCATTAAACATAACTAACCATACGCCCGTTCGTTTATTTCAACTGTGTCTACCGCAGTTTTTATTCGTTCTCACTTGCATTTTATTCTTTTTACGCATTATTTCATACTCTCCAAGCAAGGGATAGCGCACAACCAGTCATGGTGGAAATTAACTCGAGGCAATGTTGAAAAAGAAATCGAAGCAACTGACATATCTATCACGACGATCACTTTTCAGTGCAAACTGATGACTGCGTAATCCAATCAGAAAACGTCTCCCTTAAATGGTGAACATGATTTATACACACAGATGCGTAAAACAATTATAACCCTCAATTGTGTGTGGTATCTCTGTCCGATAATGAGGTGCAAGCTGACCAAAGTTTTTATCGACTAACAGCGCTCTTCATAGTAACTTCAATTTTCTGAACAATCAAGAACAATGGCGAACATTACGGAAGATGGAAACTTCGCAAGCAAACTGAACCAAGTAGTCCTCGCATCACCACGAGGTACACTTGCATTGTTTTCAGCCTTCAACATTTTTCTATGCATCACTGCATGTCTGGGAAATACTCTGATTCTCGTTTCTCTTCACAAAGTCTCTTCTATTTATCCTCCGACGAAATCTTTCTTTCGATGTTTGGCGGTCACTGATCTTAGTGTTGGCGTAATTGTGCAACCACTGCATGCAACGCTAATTATGTCTCCCTTGATAAAGATGGACGTCAAGGAGGTATTTATGATAGACCTAGCTCGTGATGCCTTCAGCTGGATTTTTTGTGGAGTATCTATCTTGACGTCGACCGCAATTAGTGTGGACAGACTTCTCGCCTTGTTGTTGGGACTGAGATACAGACATGTCGTGACGTTAAGGCGAGTTCGTGCAGCTATAATTTGTTTTTGGTTTGCTGGTGTTTCTCTTGGATCGATCCGCATTTCCAGAAGTGATATCGCCCTCAAAGCCGCCTCTACTCTCCTTCCCCTGGCGCTGGTAATTTCGATGTTTTGCTACACAAGGATTTTCTTCAAACTACGACATCAACAAGTTCAAGTCCGTCAAGGACAAGCGAACGAAGGCCGAGAGATTCCAGTGAACATGGCAAGATACAAGAAGTCAGTTTCTAGCACATTGTGGGTGCAGTTAGCATTAGTTGCCTGTTATGCTCCTTGGAGCATTACCGTTGTGTTATATGTTAACGGAATAGGAAAATATGAGGTATGGCTAGTTACAGAGACTCTAGTATTCTCTAACTCATCTCTAAACCCGATCCTGTATTGTTGGAGGATCAGAGCAGTGAGACAAGCAGTGAAAGACACAATGAGACAGCTGTACTGTTAAATTTGTAAAAAAATCATCAGGTGTAGAGATCAGCATAAATTGATAAGGCTTGAAATAACGAAAGAAAAGAAGATTTAATGTACACTTATTTAGTACAAACTGCAATAGTCAAACGTATCTTTAATTCCAACCCAGTTTAACATAGTACTAACAATTTAATCAATTAAGTCTACATTTAAAATGCAAATTGTTAAGATAATGATCTGAATATTTAACACAACATCATCATTGTTTCATTTTAAACTCATTTTTCAAAACAATAATAGCAATATTTAGCTTCCAGTGGGGAGGGGAACATTAATCGGCTGGCTCAGGAGACTACCAAAACAACGATTCGCGGGAAATTTATTTTTGCTATTGCCAAAATTGCATATTCCAAAATTGAAAATTACCTGCCTGCCTGTAAAAATCAGACAAATTCTTAATTTCACGGCACGGGTCGAAAATTCGATTTCGCTCATATTCTTATGGTAGATAGGCTACGGCATGACAAAAACTACTGGATATTTTTTATCGGCAAATATCCTTTTATTTCAAAGAAATATGCAAATTACCAACTTCCGTTAAAATCGT